GCAATACAGTACCGTATTACTTAAAATTCTAGAAGAATTACAATGGCCATTAAAGAATTAAAAAATTGACACGAGAATCAGCTAGGACAGCAACAGGAACATCAGATACATGAAAGGAAACAGTCAACCTAAAGAGACCACAATAAAGCTCTTGAAATACAACAAATCTTAGTATTGGTGAAGCACAACAGAAGTCCCAGTAGCATATCTAGTCCATGTACACTCTACATTGTATGGCTGCAGTGTCTGTTCTTTGAGCTCCCTAGTCATGGTGTAATTCCACTGCTTGACTGTTTTTCATTGCATCATTTACCTGAGTGGTTTCTTCAGCTCCCAAGCATAGGCAACGTAACACCCAGTACACGGCTGTTACCCTGCAAAGACTCATGCACTGCCTCTTTTCTCAAAGAAGTACACGGCTGTTACCCTGCAGAGACTCATGCACTGCCTCTTTTCTCAAAGAAAACATAGTGGATCAAAGCATTACCTGCAAAGAAGATCTTGCAATGGATGGATTAGATTTAGACTAGATATTAGGAAAAATTTCTTTACTGAGAGAGTGGTCAAGCATTGGAAGAGGCTGCCCAGGGCAGTGGTGGAGTCACCATCACTGGAAGTGTTCAAAAAACATGTCGACATGGCACTTCAGGGCATGGTTTAGTGGGCATGGTGGTGGTTGGACTTGATGATCTTAAAGGTCTTTTCCAACCTTAATGATTCTGTGATCAATGCTCATTATCCCCAACTGCTGAGACATTATAGTGCCTATACGTATAGCATAGGTCAAACATTCCAGATTTTTGTAACTAAACATTTACAATAAGCAACTATTTCCCTGTTCTTCCTAGGAAATTAACTTAGTGTCTAGGGATTCTGGTATGTAAAACATAAAATAGACATAGCACAAGACCCAGCTAGGAAAGCATGACATTTATGTTCCCATTTAGTCTCCACTATAAATGGAGTAACAAGAAAAAAAAAAAAGCTACTGAACAGTGCTACAGCCTATCTATTTGTTGTAAGCTGTGCTATACATAAGCAGTATTAAAGAGATTATTAAAAAACTGTTCAGCACAAGTGCTTGCTTATTGGATCTTGTATTGTGGGGTAGTTCTTTATTAAAAGGTGCTATTTTTTACAATGTACAGCTCATATACTAGAGAACAGGAACCCAATATGCCAACGTACAAACTAAATCTGTATTTCAAGTACTATGAGACTGTTCTCCAGTTTGCTGGCAGCAAGCTGACAATGGGCTTCTGGATGAGAAAAGTTGAAGTTTCAGAAACAAAATGTAAAAATTGCTTTGCACTAGCATGACACGGTGTATATGCTTAAACCCACCTAGGCCTAGGGTGGGGATGAGAGGAATGAGACCTGGGAACACATTCCTCAAGCCACTGGGCGTGGGTAAGCAATTTTTTGTCTCATTTATGGATAAGTTTTACCATGGACGAATGTAGCATCAAAACCATTCCAAGCCCTACCTTAAGCAAAATACTTCCAAAAAAGCTCAACTAATACAACAGACTGGAAAACTCAAATTAACAGAATGACCTCAAGCACAACAGCTTAACAGCAATCCCTACTGTTTATGCATTGCTGGAACCTTAGGAAAAATGTTTAATCTACAGACTAAAAAGCTTGCTAACAGCAGCACAACAGTGACATGAAATTCAAAACAACACAAAAATCTCACTCTGGTTGGACTACAGAAAGTTTCTACACACAACCAAGAAAAAAAAAATCAACATATTATATAATTTCACAGTGTACAAGTTAATATTTATGAAGAGAAGCAAGTTTTCCATGTGATCCCTCTTGTGTGCTGTTTCATGAAGGACAACATTTGCAGATGACCACGGCTTGTTTTCTCTTGCTCATTCCTCTACTAGCACTTAGAGTGGCTTATAGCTGTTACTGATATTATTTTACCACAGGAAATCCAACTACATCCTTCAGCAATTATCAAGGAGACACATAAATGTAAAGACACATAAAAAATAAGCTATGCCATTTCCTTTGCATCATCAATATTAACTGTAGAAGAGTGGAAAGACGAGCAATGCAGTAATATGACAATCCTCCCAAAAGGAAATTAAAGATTTAATTTTACACTATAATAAAAAAAAATGTGAAAATGAAAAAAACCCATAATATTTCGCATTAGAAAGATATCACCTGAGTTTCTAACCAATTCTATTTTTGCAATTACTTCTAAACTCAGAAATATATTATTTATGTCTGTCCCACTGCGCTGGTTTTGGCTGGGATAGAGTTAATTTTCTTCACAGTAGCTAGTATGGGGCGATGTTTTTGGTTTGTGCTGAAAACAGCACTGATAATTCAGGAATGTTTTTGTTATTGCTGAGCAGTGCTTACACACAGTCAAGGCCTTTTCTGCTCCTCACCCCACCCCACCAGCAAGTAGGCTGGGGTTGCACAAGATGTTGGGAGGTGACACAGCCGAGACAGCTGACCCTGAATGACCAAAGGGATATTCCAGACCATGTGACATCACGCTCAGCATAAAAAGCTGAGGGAAGAAGGAGGAAGGGGGGGACGTTTGCTTGTCTTCCGAAGTCACCGTTATGCGTGATGGAGCCCTGCTTCCCTAGAGATGGCTGAACACCTGCCTGCCGAGAGGGGTGAATTAATTCCTTGCTTTGCTTGCATGCGCAGCTTTTGCTTTGCCTATTAAACTGTCTTTATCTCAATCCATAAGTTCTGTTTTA